GGAATTCTGAGAGTTGAAGTCCACACATCTTAAGGTTGCCTAGGTTGAAAACCACTGCTCTAACTGAATTCTGCAAATAAGTGCATTATTGGGTTTGAGTAGATGGTATCTTGTTTTACATAGTTGCAGAGGAGAAAAGCTTAAATTCTGTTTGAGCATCTTTGATTGACAAGCACGTTGGGAATAAATAGTGCTATTTTGGAAATGGGCTTAGACTCTTTTAAGAAAGGCAGCTGAGCTGGTCAGAAAGTTGAAGAAAAACAGGGAGATTGGGCCAAAAAGGTGCTTCTTTACCCAGCCTTTCCTAATGCATACTCTTGGGATTGTGACTCTCAGAATTTCAATCCACCAGAGCAGTCTTTCTCAACCTCAGCAAGTTTAAGATGAGTGGACTTCAACTCCCAGAATTCCCTAGCCAGCATGCATGCTGGCTGGGGAATCCTGGGAGTTGGAAGTCCACCCATCTTAAACTTTCTGCAGTTGAGAAACAGTGTGCTCCAGCATAGTGGATCTAAGAAAGGCTCTGAAAACTCTTCCTTGTGGCCGCGTCCACTGTCACAGAGGGATTAAAACAACAAGTACAGTAGTTACAATGCGGATAATCAAATTGTGCATGTCTGCAAAATCGAGTTCTGTAAGGAATTAATGGAGGCATAAGTCCCAAAATATCACCAGAGTGATTTTTCTGAATCTCTCTCTTTGTGGCCATGACTGGTAGGCAGAAGTATTCTCATTTTTTATCGCCACACTGCCTCTGAAAAGCTGAAATGAAATTTTTATTGCTACCTTGATTCCTTCCCCCACTTCCCCAAAGTCACATCTGGGAGATATTCTTGCATTCATTCAAACGAAGGACTCCATATTTGATTAATGTGGATTCATTTCAGTGGAATTTAGAAGCCACTCCCCCCTCTAAGTTCAGTATCAAAAATATTTTCCCCACAGATATACATTTACCTTGGTGAATTGGCAGAGGTTCATGTGTTCGGTACTTCTGCGTGTTTACTTGGAAGTAAGCTGCATTGAATTCAATGGAGTTTGTTTCCAAATCAATGTAAACACAACTCCAAAACAACTCGTATATATGTTGCTTTAAGAAGGGCATCATTTTCTTGCACAGAGCTGCAAAGGAAGGATAGAATTTTTTCTCCCTGTGCTATTTAAGAGATTTTCAAACTACCCTTCACCTCTTTTCTTTTGGGGGAAAACGGAGACTTTGACACCAAAGGGAGTGCAACCGAGCTCTGTTTAAGCACTTCTGGCTGTCGTTTTCGAATGTTTTAATATTTTTTTCACTGTACATGCTGGGGAAATAATTGAAGATCTGCTTTTAACGCTTGCTGCTTTTGTCTGCCAGTTTGCGGGTTTGCCTTTCTCTTTTAATTGTGTCTCCTGTTATTAATGTGGAACTAATTTCCTCTGCAATGATCATAAAGGGAACCACACAGTGCAGCCTAAGATTGCATATTAAGCCTGTAGTGCCGCAGCGCCCGGGGGAGGAGAAGGGACATGCCAAGGAAGTTTGTCCTGCCTTTTATCCGCCATCAAACTCTGGTAGTCAAATTGCATGTAAACCGTGAAGCCTTGTGAATACGGGAGGTGCCAATCTTTTGTTTCTGCAGTGCTAAAGAAAGGAGCCGTTGGGGGAAAAAGGC